AACAACAAGAGCCGAACTTTATAATAATAATAATAATAATAATAATAATAATAATAATAACAACAAGAAAAAGAAGAAAAAATAAAGAGTCGAATTGTGGAATGTAAAACGGATCGATGCTCGTCTATAATGAGACTGACTCAAATTTAAGTTTGATTCGACAAGTGATTTAAAATAAAATAATACTTTTTCAAGCAATTTCGAGATTGGTTGGTACCTTAGATGTGTAACCACTTAGGAATACCAGTTGCTATAAGATTGAATGTGAGGGTGGTGTAGTGGATAATGTCTCGGAATTGTTAATCAGAGAACCGAGTTGCAATTACAGTTGGTTTTGTTACAATCATTTACACACAAAATCCTCTTTGGAAAGGTGTGAATCCGCCTCTTCTCCCTCCAGCTTTGGGTTAATTAGGAAGTCTTTTATCACGAAACAATTATTATCTCTTTAACAATAAATATTCTTACAATCTGCAATTTTTTTCTGGCTTTAAATAACCTGCAAAGGGTTGATAAGCCGTAGAAAACGAATCAATCAATCAATATTATTTGTTTTTTAGGTTCTGAGATGAAGTAATTTTTTAAATTTATTAATATTATTATTATTATTAAATAAAATTAAATAATACCATAGGTTTCCTTTTCATTGTAATCTTGATTAATCTTCAAACAGCAAACAAAAAAACAAAACAAAACCTATCTATCTATCTATCTATCTATCTATCTATCTATCTATCTATATATATATATATATATATATATATATATTCAGTCCTTTCATATCTGTCTGTTTATCTATCTATCTATCTATCTATCTATCTATCTATCTATCTATCTTAGTGTATTCATTAGCTATCTATTTATCTGACAGTTCGTATCTGTCTATCTATCTATCTATCTATCTATATATATATATATATATATATATATATATATATATATATATATATATATATATATATATATTTTTCAGTCCTTTCATAAGTGTCTGTTTATCTATCTATCAGTGTATTCATTAGCTATCTATTATCTGACAGTTCGTATCTATCTATCTATCTATCTATCTATCTGTCCGTTCATACCTATCTATCTCAGTCCGTTCATATCTATCTATCTATCTATCTATCTATCTATCTATCTATCTATCTATCTATCCCAGTCCTTTCATCTTTATTTATCTAAATGAAGGCACCTTATATCAGTTTTTTGATAAAATTTGCTAGTCTGACGTGAGGCGTGAGTCACTTTTCAGCCTCTCCAAAAGTCCATCATGCACAACATATGTAAAAAACAACAACAAAAAAAATGCTCGGCTCAATCTTGAAGAGATGGCCTTCTTCTGGAAAGAAACATCGGTAATCATATATCTTAGGCAGCTTCGCTAAAAAAAGGAGCATACCATGATGAAAAAATGTCCCAAACTTAAAAACAAAGTTTTATCGTCAAAATCTTTATTATTATTAAGAGGAAAGACCAAAGTATTTTTTTTTATTATTACACTATATATTTATTATTATTATTATTTTTAGAACGTTTGGAATCTTGGTTAAAGATCTTTGTTTGTCTTGCTTCAGCGGGATAACAAGTAATGTCGACTCTCCTAATTTATAAAACCTGTCTTTCAAAGCGACAATCACATAATTTTATAATAAAATGATTGATAAGATAAAAAAAAAACAAATAGGAGAAACGTTTATCAATCTAACATGTTTCACTTTTATTTAAGCTTCACCAGAGAATGAAATAAGGAGAAAAGTCATTCTCGGATGAAGCTAAAATAAAAGTTTTCTATTTTTCTTATGATTCTGTTTGATTCTGATCCATGTTTGGTCAATAAAATGATTGAAAAAAAAAAACATTTTAAATCTGTTAATTTTATAAAAAAAAAACAAAAAAAAAACATCTTCCGTTCGGTATGGAATTGGTGAAGGTGCTGAAAGGTTGTCGGGAAGAGACAATTCCTAAAATCAATATCCTGTTATGTGATGGTCATAGAAATATTGATTTTGGGAAATAGGCCGTGCCTGTAGAAGTTTCTTTATTTCTGTCTTCTTTTTCACAGAGATAGATAGATAGATAGATAGATAGATAGATAGATAGATAGATAGATAATGAAAAGACTGGAATAGATAGATAGATAGATAGATAGATAGATAGATAGATAGATAGATAGATAATGAACAAATTGGAATAGATAGATAGATAGATAGATAGATAGATAGATAGATAGATAGATAGATAGATAGATAATTGGGTAAACAACGACACAGACGAACATATATATATATATATATATATATATATATATATATATATATATATATATTGGAATGAAATACAGTTCAGTTATGGCTCGGAATCCGAGAGAATGACAAATAGGAAATAGGAAAAACGTTTATCAATCTAACATGTTTCACTTTTATTTAAGCTTCATCAGAGAATGAAATAAGGAGAAAAGTCATTCTCGGATGAAACTTAAATAAAAATGAAATATTTTAGATTGATAAACGTTTCCTATTTATCTTATAATTCTGTTCGATTCCGATCCATATTTAGTCAATAAAAAGATTGAAAAAAAAAAAAGTTAAATCTATTAATTACTGAATTAACGTAATTAAAAGATAATGAAGCCGGTAGTAGCTATGGCAATGAAGTTGGTGTCGGGGCGGTGGTTTGGTGTCATCGACAACTGGGATGGCGATAGGGTAGATAATGCTACTGCTCCTGATAATCGGACCATAAGTTTAAAGAAAATAAGACGCAAAGCAAATCTTTCACTGACCTGTATAAGAAGAGAATGAATCCATGACACGCGACCTGTGGGTGCTGTAAGCGATGGAATTCCTTTTGTAGGTGGGCGTGGTGGGAACGTTGTTCTGGGTGGGGGATGTCGAACCCTAATATCGGAAGAAGGGATCGATATATATATATATATATTTTTGTACTTGTAATTACAAATAAGAATCTCGATTCTTGAGATATAAGTACTGTTCCGTCAAAACATTACGTTCAATTATCTATGGAAATCTATAATACAGAATTGACAGAATCTATGTGACCGGTGTGGAGCTTTACAAGAATTATTTTCGGCCTTCAATTTTTCAATAGTGCTTTATAAAATTGAATTTACTATCTATCTATCTATCTATCTATCTATCTATCTATCTATATATATATATATATATATATATATATATATATATATATATTTAAGTTGATAAACGCAGGTGACAAATTCACATCAACGCAAATAAACATGTTAGCTCTATCACTGATATTAAGCGCTTTTCAATAAGTACCACGCATATATAATATATTAATAATATATATAGGAATTGCATACATATATATATATATATATATATATATATATATATATATATATATATATATATATATATATATATATATGTATATATATATATATATATATATATATATATTATATGTATGTATATATATATATATATATATATATGTGTGTGTGTGTGTGTGTGTGTGTGTGTGTGTATGTGCGTGCATTAATAACGTTACATAAGCGTAATTTTTTATGCATTCTATATTAAATAAAATGATTTATGATAATTTATACTTAATTGTGGTACAGAAATAAATATATTCATGAGATAAAATATGTTACATATATATATATATATATATATATATATATATATGTATGTATATATACATATATACATACACACACACACACACACATATATATATATATATATATATATATATATATATATATATATATATATAAGACTATCGTCCGGTTCACACACCTCCCTCGTTTTTTGAACAGGGAGTAGTGGTTTATCTCTGGTTTCTTGTTTAGGATTTCTTTCCCGTTTCCTTTTAAAGTCTTTTCATTCTCGTCCATTTCCAGTGGCCCTGTGCGTCATAGTGGCATTATTGCCTTGCTTGGGATGAATCGATTATATATAGAGATATATAGGTAATTGTGCGACTAATATGGTTAGCGTTGCGATCGAACCAACACCTGCAGTCATACGCGCACACACACACACACATGTATATATATATATGTATATGAAATTTTATAATATAAAATATAAATTTTTGTTTCTCTCCATACATATATATGTGTGTGTGTGTGCGTCTCTAGTGTGCGTGGGTACGATGAGAGATATGAGTGTGAATTATGTCCTTATGTTCTTTTTAAATATTGCTAAAAACTCTGCTTAAATTATGTACAGCTTATGTATAGATATGGGATATTTATTATATATATATATATATATATATATATATATATATATATATATATATATATATATATATATATATATATGCAAAGTGTTATATTAAAGTTGATTTGCAAAATTTCGATATTTTATATATATATATATTTTTTAAACTGGCGTAGAAATCAATCCGCGAGTCGAGTAAATAAAACTAAATTCGCTTGAGTCTCCGAACGTAAACTTTCCGTAAATATAACTTCTTCTCCTCTCTCACTCTCCCTCTCCTCTCTCTTCACACACACACACACATATATATATATATATATATATATATATATATATATATATATATATATATATGTATGTGTGTGTGTGTGTGTGTGTGTGTGTTGTTCATTTTAAATCAAGCTAACATGGTGAATTTAGTTAGTCACGCCAAAACTACTTTTTAGTTTATAAACCACACAGCTCGCCCCAGCCTTTCCTTCGGTACACAAAATAGCGCCATAAAACATATACCTATAACTACAAATTGAATTTTAAGAATAGTACTAGGAGCCGACCTAATTGTAATATCAGTCACATTAATAATAATAATAATAATAAGAAAAGCTACAGTAATAGTTAACAAAGATAAAGAGGCAGGAGCAGGGAGCAATTTTATCAGTCAGTCAAAGCTTGTAGCGGGAGACAGAGACTGGAGCATTAAATTGCACCACACACACACGCATATATATATATATATATGAAAGTTTGTGAATAAGCAGTAGAAATTTAGAATAAGAGAGAATGAAAAGGATTTTGCCTTTCTCTGCTGCTGGTCTCGTTCGACCAAAAAAACAAAAAAAAACAAGAATGGCTGCAGGCGTAAGGGGGCGGACCGTCCAAAAATCTGAGGGGATTTGACGTTGTGGCAAACGGTGGTGGTGGGGATATAAAAATGGGAGAATAATAATAAAATTAAAGTTGTATACACTGTAGTCATAAATTTCTTGCTTATATTTTCCTCCCAATGCCTATACACACAGGCACGCACACGTGTACGTGTGTGTGTGTGTGTGTGTGTGTGTGTGTGTGTGTGTGTGTGTGTGTGTGTGTTCCTTTTGTAAAGACCACTGTCCCTAATGTTTTTTATTCACGCTCATAACGGAGTATATTTTCTTTTTTTTTTTTTTCATTTCTCTTCTTTTTCTTCATTTTTCATTCGGTTCCTTTTATTTTTCATTTTTTTTTCAGTTCTCTTTTTTTTCACCTTCGTTCTTTCGAACACTTCTTTGGCTGAATTTTATTCAATCTCATTCTTCTTTTTTTTTTTTTTTTTTAGAGTTTTTAATTAATTTCATTCAAAGTTTTTCCTTTTGTTTTCTTTCATTTTTGTCGATTTTTCTTCATCATTTTCGCATCCATCCTATTTCCTGCAAACTTAATTCATTGCCTTTAATTTCTTTCCTGTTTGTCCAAACTTTTTTTTTCTCTCCTTCTTCATTCTTTTTTTTTTCTTTTTTGTTTTCTGTCGGATTTAAATATATATTTTTTTTTTTTTTACTTTTTCTTTTTTTTGTTTCGTTCAATCAGGGATGTTTTTATTTCATTAAAACTTATTCCTTTCTCTCTTTCCTCTGTTATTCCTTTTTCTTTTTCCTTCCTTTCTCCTTTCTTTTCTTCCTTACTTCAATCCTTCCTTTAACTTTACTTTTTATCGATTTTCTTCTCTTTTATTTTCTCATTTATGTGATATTTTCTTCCGTTTCATTCATTTTTTTCTTTTAATTTTCTTCATGCTCTTTCTTTCTTTTTTTTTCACTGGATTTTATTCATTTGTTTTTCATCTTTCGTTCTATCCTTTCTTTGATGTGGATTCTTTTTTATTTTTATGCTTTCTCTTTCATTTCTTTCTTTTTTCTTTTTTATTTCCTAAGATGTGTTCTTATTTTTTCACTCTCCCCTTTTCTCTTTCTTTCTTTTTTTCTTTGTTTGTTTTTCCCTCTTTTATCTTTCTTTCTTTCTTTCTTTCTCGACTGTTTCTTTTTTTTATATTATTCCTTTCTTACGTCTAGTCTTATTTTTTTTATTTACAAACATTTTCCTTTCACATTTCAATTGTTTTCAGATTTTTTCTTTTCACTTAATTATTATTTTTTTCTTCTAATTTGTTTTTTTTTTCCTTTTCCAAATTTACCCGAAAAATCGTTTAAATTTCTGCTTTCTTCTTTTTGTCATTATTATTATTATTATTATTATTATTGTTGTTGTTGTTGTTGTTGAATGAGTGCGAGAGAGAGGAGGAGACAGTGAGTAGCACAACAATTTTACATAGACGCAAAGCAAATGTACCAAGCTTAATTTACCCATCATGACACCACGTTTTATATATATATATATATATATATATATATATCAGGCACATATATAACAACTAAATGTGACGGATATAGTGACAGGTTTTGGCAAATCAACGATCATTATTATTATTATTATTAGTAGTAGTAGTAGTAGTAGTAGTAGTAGTAATAGCAGCAGTAGTAGTAGTAACAGTATTTATTATTAATTGTCATGTCTTTCTGCTTTATCTTAATTTCCTCCGGGTCCCAATCAGTGACCTAAGGTCAGAAATATCACCCCGAAACTTTACACTTCATATCTGAGTAAAATAAATAAACAGATTTTAAAAAAAAAGTATATAGAGTTATATAGTGATTTTCAAGTTGTAGTTAGATATAGAGAAGGTCGAATAGATGACCCAGTGAGGATCGAACTCACTACCATTCGTAATTGTGTTAGCGAGACAAGATCACGACCAATTAGTGAGTTCGATCCACACTGGGTGCCCCATACTCTCGGCCTTGTGCCACATCTGAGCTACGCTTGGAAAATCGCTATAACAGTGAAAGCTGGGGTACCCCGAGGCAGTGTAATGGTTAGCAAGATTGTCTCGCTAGCACAATTACGAATGAGTAGTGAGTTCGATCCTCACTGGGTGCCCCCTACTTTCGGCCTTGTGCCACATCTGAGCTACAGTTGGAGGATTGCTATACATTTCGCATAAATAAATCTGTTTTTATTAGAATCACAGCTGTGAGCTGTGATTGTAATAACATATTTTTTTTTAATTTCTTTATGACACTGACTGACAGGCATCACTTCAATGAGGCTAACAGAACTTTTTTTTTTTCTAACGAAACCCCAGATGCTAATTACAAATTGACTTATTGATGTATTCATGTGCGATAATCTTTCCATGATATTTCCATTTCAAGATCTCTGTATTTTAGTAGAGGACAGTCTGTATGAAATGCCACTTCAAGAAGAAAAGCACATTCTGTTTGAGTCTTTGATCACTAATCCTGGTTGATTCGTTTTGATTATTGTTTGCGTGTATTGTAAATTCTTGTGAAATGGTTACAGGTCTTTAACCGAATCTAGGTAAGGCTGATACCAATTCCTTGCAATTTCCTTCCCGTAAAAAGTTACAGATTTTCCAATTCAGATATTGGTCTACACCTGTCATGCTATGCTTTATATACAATGCATATATATATATATATATATATATATATATATATATATATATATATATATATATATATATATATAAAAAAGGAAGAACTGTAAGATATATAATTCGGTGTTCTTACTGATATTTTTTATTTTTATTCTTACAAAAAGAGTGCTCAATGTAAATTTGCAGAGTCTTAACATTATAAATTAAGTGATATAAAATGTTTTTTTGCTACCCGTCAATAACCATGTTTCAAAAATGGAAGCTAAAATCTTCAAATTTAATTTTATAATTAAATCAAAAGCATTAATTCCATTTCATCTTCAAGCGAATATTGGGAATCCCTTATTTTTAAATTTGCTGAGTTTTAAACGCACACATAAATCCATAATTCGCTTTTACCTAGGATACAGGGAAATCCAATCATTAAGACAAGGGGCGGTAGCGTGTTCATTTATATTAACTGTTTTTGTATCAATTATGAGTTACGTTCGTGAAAGTGGTTAAGTTTTAATTCCATTTTTGAAACATGGTTATTACTGTGTAACGAAAAACCATATTTTATATCACTTAATTTGTATATATATATATATATATATATATATATATATATATATATATATATATATATATATATATATATCATTATGTTCTTGAGGGTACAAAATTTTATTATGGAAATAAAAACGGCAAGACGAGCTTTACCATTCATGATTAAAAGGAAATTAAAACATAAATAATCAGCCAACCGATTTCGCCCACACTCAACAGAGCTGAAATCGAGGGAAGACTAAATATTGCAATATAAAATATAAAAAACATGAGAAGCTTGTGATAAAATAAAGGTGGAAAGATCAGATGGAAATCATGTCAAGCCCTAACAGGCATTCGCACTGTTTACAGAGAGAGGGCTGCCTGGACCTGAGATAGATCGTTTCCAATATCTTTAAGTGTTGCAAAGAATGAGCATGACTAAGGATGGAAAATTAGTCAATGCTGAAATTTGTCGCAAAACTCGGATTGTTTATAAGGTGCTCAGCAATGGCCGTATGTGTTCCTGATATTGTCACCAGATTGGAACGTACCATTCCTAATTCTTCCGGGTACGTGCTGGCTAATCCGTGCGTCTGAACGTAAGGTAGTTCTACCTATGTAGTTGGCTCTGCAACTATATCCAAAACGATATATTACATTATTAATATGGTGTGGAGGAGAACGTCTTTCCGAGCAGGCACCCAAGGAGACTTGGTAGAAAAAAATTAACAGCACGCACATTGACGGAAAAATAGCAATTTTTACCCGTTGAATTGATTTGTTTGGCAAATTTACCACTTATTGAACCCAATCGGGGCAAACGCAAATACACTGGTCATTTAGAAGCCATACTCGGTCTGGGTTTAGAAAAATTTAAGATTTTCTTTTTCATGACCGACTTAACAATACCTAAAGGGTACCCATTATTAGCTAGAACCTTAGTACTTGCTTCCAGCTCTTTATCTAGCTTAGATTCTGAGCAGATCCTCAAAACTCTATGTGTAAGCATACTAATGCATCCCATCGAATGTATAGTCCAGTAAAAGTTTGGTTTACGATAAATTGATGCAATGTAACCGGATGGTATTCTAGTTATTAAAACATCCCAAAAATAGATATAGTGGAATTATTTTCAATTTCCATAGTGTACCTTAATGCCAGAGGCATGCCATTAAGAAGTGAAAAGAATATTTTTGCCTGCGTTATATTTTCGAAGAGGTAAAATGTGTCATCAACATAGTGATGGTACATTAGTGGTTTGGGCAGTTTCAGAAAATAAACGATTTTCATAGAAACCAAAAGATATATTTGCCAATGTAGGCCACAGGAGTAAACCCATAGAAAACCCGTCGATCTGTCTGTACATTGTGTTATTAAAACTGAGTTCAACAGACGTCACGGCAAATTTTAGCAACTCAACAAAAATATTTTCAGGAATGGCAGGTAGAGATATCCGGCTACGATATAGCAAATCTGTACAGATATCTATTCTTTCTGAAATAGGAACACAAATAAATAAGTTGTTGATATTGAACGAACACATGAATTTGTTAGTCGAATTACAGTTTTGAATATCTCTTGCAAAAGAAAAAGAATCTTTTATGCAATGACAACTGTAAGATTCTAATACAGGTTCTAATAGTGTGTCAATCCATTTGATAAACTTCTGTTGAGCTGACCCCCAACATAAACAGAATTGGTCTAAGTGGGGTACCTGCCTTATGGGTTTTAGGCAAACCGTATAAACGGGAACAAACTGAGCCCGAAAGTCTAATGTCGCTACCTATGTCAGAAGGAAGGACGTCACTTTTTACCCATTTGACTAATTTTCTCTGAAATTTATATTCTACTGTCACTTTTGACTCAAAACTGTCCACAGGTCATAATTTAATCAATTTTGATGAATCATTCAAAATTGTCATCATTTTATCAACGTAATCGCTTTGATTGAGGACAAAAACTCCTGAACCTTTGTCAGGTCTCGCGATTACTAACGATTTATTCTGATGTAGTGATTTAATTACCGAATAGTCTTCTCTGCGCCATTTGTATTTGTCGTATGTTATAGGTATTCTGGAATAACAATGGGCAAGATCATTAAATCTGGCCTTGAGGTCCCTATCTTTATTGTCAGAAACAGATTTAAGTTTCCGTATTTGGGCATTAAGAATTTCGAATTCCGAAAATATTTCTTCCCGCCCTCAACAACTGGTGGAATAGTGATGTCCAATCCATGACCTAGTATTGTACTTTCAATCGGAGACAACTGGTAGGAAGATAGATTAAGAATATTCGCAACATTAGAAATGGCAGAGTAGCCAAATTTCTTGTATATTAAATATTGCAACTTGTTATGGAACTGAGTTGACAGTCATTTAAAACTTCGCTCGTGTACAATTCCAACATACCGTGAAAAACGGATCATATCACAATATGCAAGATTGTCCACTGATTCCCTCCAAAGGTGTAAATATTTGTCTTGTAATATACAGAATTGAGAGTTATATATATATATATATATATATATATATATATATATATATGTGTGTGTGTGTGTGTGTGTGTGTGTGTGTGTGTGTGTGTGTGCAATGATGTTAATAATAATAATAGTAATACTTCTTCTTGTTCGTCTTCTACTTTTTCGTTTTATTATT